GTGAGAAGGATCAGGAAACAGTATTGGTTCCCCAGGTGTCTGGGGCCCCAAGACTAGGAATGGCACAGGGTCCAAGCTAGAGTATAGAATGCCAGGCGGGGAGGCAGGGGGGTGGGGGGTGGGGTGGAAGGGTGAATGAGGCTTAGGGAGTCCCGGCGCGGAGAGCTGCGCTATAGACTTACCCCAAGAGGCCTGAGGATAGTAGTAGAAATTAATTTTAAGTTATGATACCAACATGTTCTTAAAACTAATCTTAAAGATGCCTTTAATACTTACAGCTTGATTAGGCAGATTGTCAGTCTTAAGTTCTCTGTGATTCGAATACTGAATATAAACAGGCTGACTTCGAAGATGTGGAGTAACAGGAGTGTAATAATTTACCATAGTAACAGCAGCTTCCTCAGAAGCCATCTCTAAAAAAGCCTGCAATAAACACAGAAGGTAAAGTGAAAGATCATCCTTTTAAGACAGAACTATTCTGTCATTCAATATTGGTCTAAACATATACATACTCAGTAAAAATGATATTGCTCCCAAGAGGATGAAAAATTCTTTGCTTCAAAGTGTATCATGTATACTAATTAGAAATCTATTTGGAAAGTTGGGTTCAATACATGATTTAGACTTAAGAAACTATCAGTTGGTTAAATTATTTCTGAGGGTTTTTGTCTTTTCACGTAAGATCTGGAGATATTAGAAAATTAAACAGATTCAAACCCTCCAAATATAGCCTATTTTAAAAATAAGAACGTGAAGAATCAACTATTCAAATTAAGGAAAATGAAGGAACTTCCTGTATGTAGTCAAAATTGACGTGAATTGTTGAAGCGACGTCTGGTATCTGCAACCACTATACTAATACAAGATCAGGGAAGAAAAGCATGGGAAAAGGTGAAATGGAGATATTTTTTGACATTTATCTCAAATTCTATATATGGCTGCTTCTAGCTATGCAAAGTCCTATAATTCCTGTGATGGAAACAGAGCTTTTAACAAAGCAGTGTTTGCCTCCTTTTTTAATGGGTGGTGAAGAAGACAGAATACAAACATATACTAACCATTTTGAGCACTCAGAACTACCAACAAGAATCTCAAATTTATGCAAAAATAATGTAATTAAAACCAACACAAATATTTTCTTAGATAATCTTTTTTTCTCACAAAATAGCACTTAAGGGGCTGGAGAGATGACTCAGCAGTTAAGAGCACCAGCTGCTCTTGCAGAGGACCAGGTTTGAATCCCAGCACTCACATGGCAGGTAACAACTATCTATAACTCCAGTTCCAGGGGTTCTGACCACGCCTTCTGACCTCTGCGGGTATTGCAAGACACAGGTGCACTTACACACATGCTGGCAAAACACCATTTAAAATTCATCTAAAAATATGTATTAACAATACTATTTGTTAAACACAGGAAATGAGAAAAATCATAACCTTAACTATTTTGTTACCTTAACTGTCAGCTATTTCCACATGAATTCCGGTAAAGGGCTCTTAAATGAACAAATGTTAGACTTTATGCACAGCTGCATATCAACAAAATGTGACAAACTAAACAAATTAAATTCTTCATCTAACTACAGCATTTACTTAAGTAGTTCATAAGTCCATACTGGCAGATTAAATAACACATATCAATGAATCATGACACAACAAATAAAATTTCACTATATTACAAGGACAAAACAGACTCTATACCATTTACAGATCTAAAAGGCATAAATGTTCGTGGTGTGCTTTAAAGCCACTCTTATCAGTAACACACTTTCTCTAATTTTTCTTAGAGGATAAAAATGATCCAGACAAGAAAAATATCTACAGCAGCAGCTTCTAGGTATCTGATTTTTTTAAAAGGTTTAAACTATTGGAAAATTTGTAGCCAAATAAAAACACAGTTACCAAGAATAAGAGTATTATAAAATGCTATTGTATATGATCTATAAAATAAGAGTAAAAGTATTTGGACATTTTGTTCCTAGTTGGTGACCCTGTTTTGGGAGGTTTTAGGAGGTGTGGCCTAGCTGGAGGAAGCACATGGGGGGGGGGCGGTGCTTTGAAGAGTTCTCAAGCCTTGCAGGATTTCCAGTTGCTCTCTGCTTCCTGTGCCTGCTTGAAGATGTGATTGCTTGACTTTCTGCTCTGGCTGCCTCCTTCTGTTTTCCATCATTATGGACCCTTACCCCCAAACCCTAGGTTAAAATAAACTCTTCCTTCTGTAAGTTGCCTTGGTCATGGTAGCTCATCACACAACAGAAAAGTAACTAATGTGCAGCATATCCAACAAATCGGTGTCCAGTCACGTCCAAATCCCACTGCACTAATGGTAATGGAATCAAAAAGGATGCAGAGATGGTTCCTGATACTTCAACATGCAGAAAGTTGAATTCACATACCTACCATGAAAAAAAAGGGAAAACAGAAAACCATGTAGCTTTTCTTTTGAAATTACCCTTTCTTATTCTCAATTTCAAATTTTTATTTTGAGATAGGCTCTCCCTGTAGCCACAGCTGGCCTGGAACTCACCGAGTAGACCAGGCTGGACTTGTTCTCAGAGATCCACCTGCCTCCCAAGTGCTGGGATTAAAGGCTTGTGCCACCACATCCAGCTCAATTCTAAATATTATAGTATACCCACACATGCATTTGTGTACCTATGTACATGTATATATTATAGGCTAGAACCCTTGATGACAGAAAACACTCGGTTTTTTACTTTCTAAGACTGGGTGATGGCACCATAATATTATACATTTTAGGTTTATTTGTTTTGCTATGAATTTTTTTGGGGGGGGTGTCTTTTTGAGACAGGGTCTCCCTGTAGCCCCAGACTGTCCTAGATTCACTATGGAGACCAGGCTGGCCTCCAACGCACAGAGATCTGACTGCCTCTGTCTCCCAAGTACTGGGATTAAAGGTGTGTGCCACCATGCCCAGCCTAACATACTTTTTTTTTGCTATGAATTTTTAAATCCCATTTTTCTTTAGAGCTGAATAAGATTGAAGTTTATTTATATATGTTTTGTGGGATTCAGGCTTTTATTATTTTTATTTGACACTCAATCCTTTATTTGAATGTTAACAGTGGGTAAAAATCTTTTCAAATAGGTTTCCCTCTTCGATTCTTTTTTTTTTTTAATTTTTTATTGAATTTTTGTGTATTTCATACAGAATATCTCTAACAAACTTAATACCCCTGTCCCCCTCTCAACCCCTCCTCCCCTCACTGGAACCCATATACTGTGTCATCCCTGTTAAGGCCCACTGTGTCAAGACAGTGTCCCCAGGTGTTCCCCAGTACAAGTCCATCCACTGAGGTCTAGTCAGCCTATCTAGAGTCCCTTGTTTTAGGAAGATCAGCTCTTTCTTACCTAGCAGTAGTCAGTTGCCAATACTTCTTCAACTAAGATTGGGGTCTGCTGTTCATTTTCCCAGTTCTATGCTGGGTTTTTGTCTGCCTGAGTTTACACAGGACTTGTGTATGCTGATATACCACTGCCATAGAATCATATGAGCAAGTTCCCAGGAGCTTTTAGAACTGTTTCCATACGGTCATGCCACCTCCTCCCTGACTCTTACAATCTTTCTGCCCCCGTTCCAAGATGTTCTCTGAGCCCAGGATGGGTAAAGTTTAATGAGTCCTGTCCAAGGGCCAGCATTCTGCAAACTTTTAATCTCTACATTTTGGTCATTTGTGACCTTTTGTGTTCCTGACCCTCTGTTGCAAGAGGGAGCTTCATTAATGAGAATTAAAGTTTATATTTGTACCTGATTTCATTATTCATTCATTTGTAGATGGACTACCAGGTTAGTTCCACTTCCTTGCTATGCTGAATAGAGCACCAATAAACACAGGGGTGCAAATACCCCTATATAAGATGTGGAGTTCTCTGGTATATGTGCAGGAGTGACATAGTTGAGTCATACATGACAATTATTTCAATTTTTTGAGAAACCTCCAAACTGATTTCCATAATGTCTGTACTAATTTGTATTCCTACCAGTAGTGCACAAGGGTTCCTCCTTCTTTATATCCTCTTCAGCATTTGTTGTCTGACTTCTTAATAGCTATTCTGACTAGGATAAGCTAGTATCTCAAAGTAGTTTTAATTTGCATTTCCCTAATGATTGGGTATGCTGAACACTTCTTAAATAGTTGTTGGCCATTTGTACTTCTTTCTGAAAACTGTCTATTCAATTTGTTGGTCTATTTGTTAGTTGGTAATTTTATTTCCTTAGTATTTAATTTTTGCATAATTCTGGATATTAGCCCCTTGTCTGATGCAAGCTGGTAAGGATTCTCTCCCATCTGTGGGCTGTGTGCCCTGCTCATAACAGTTTCCTTTACTAAAGTTTTGAATTTCATATAGTCACATCTCTTGACACTTGGGGCGAACTCCTGTTCTATTGATGCTCTATTCATAAAAGTTCTTGCCTACACTGATGTCCTGAAGAGTATTCCCTATATTTTCATCTGGGAGTTTCAGGTCTTAAATTAAGATCTTTGATCCATTTCAAACTGATTTTTGTATACGGTAAAAGTTGTGAATCTAATTTCATTCTTCTGCGGGTAGAAATCCAGTTCTGTCAACAACATTTATTGAGTAAACTATCCTTTATCCAGTATATATTTTTTCCTCCTTTATCAAAAGTTAAGTGGGCATGGCTTTGCCAGTTTATTTCCAGAATTATTCTGTTCCATTCGTCTACTTGTCCTTATGCTAGTACCAAGCAGTCTTTATCTTTATAGTCCTGTGCTATAATCTGATGTTGGGTATTGTGATACTACCAGTTGTCTCCTTATGCTGTAGGATTACTTTGGATATTCATGGTCTTTTATGGATCCACATTAATTCTTTTAAAATTTTTATTTATAATTTTTATTTTATGTGTATGCACGTATTGCCTGCATGTAGGTAAGTGCACCTGTGTTGTGAAATGCTCGTGGAGGACAGAAGAGGCTGCTGGATGCCCCCGGAACTGGAGTTACAGACAGTTGTTAGCTGCCATGTGGGTGCTGGGATTTGAACCTGGGTCTTCTGCAAGAACAACCAGTGTTCTTAACCACTGAGCCATCTCTCCAGTCCCTGGATCCATATTAATTCTTAGACTGTTTATTCTAGCTCTATAAGATATGACATTGGAATTTTGATAGGTATTACCTTAAATCTGTAGATTAATTTTGGTGATTTTCATAATATTGATTCTGTCAATTAAGGAGCTTTGAAGGTCTTTCCATCATCTGGTATCTTCTTTGATTTCCTTTTTCAGTCTTAAAAATTTCATTATAGAGGTCCTTCTCTTCTTTAGTTGGGTATATTCCAAAGTATTTAATTTTTAGGGGTGTTATTTTATTTTTTGAGACAGGATCTCACTATTTAGCCCTAGCTGGCATGGAACTCACTAAATAGACTGGCCTCAA